CGCGGGTCGGACGCAGGGGGTGGCTGCTGCTATCGGGCATTGCTGCCCTTGTGCCAGTGGTTGCATTGTGCAGGTGTTTTGGCCGCGGCTGGAGCATGCATGCGAGTAAGCGTGAGCCGAAGGAAGATGATGATGATGAGGAGAATTTGCACGACGACACTGTCGCTGTGGGTCTTGACAAGGAGGAGCGGGAGCGGTATCATGCCACGCTTCTCCTCCTAAAGGAAAAGGCCAATGCGCATTTTCGCGCGGCTGAATTTGACGCGGCGTTGGAGATGTACCAGGGGTGCGTTGACATGTGTGCCGCGCTGGGCGCTGATGACGCAGAGGCGGTGCAGATCGATCAAGTTGTGCGCGCCAATGTGGCTCTTGTGTTTCTGAAGCTTCAGAGACCCGAGGAGGCGCGGATGCTGGCGACATTTCTGCTGCAGGATGACACACACCCTGTCGAGGGAGATTTGAAGGTGAAGGTGCTTTATCGACGCGGGCTGGCAAGCCAGGCGCTTGGGGATCGCGAGTCGGCGCTGTGCGACTTTAGGGCCGCCGTTTTGTTCTCACCCGGAGAGAAAAATCCGGCGGCGGAGGCTGCGATTGCGGCCCTCTCTCGTGGCGTTGGAACGTAACATTGAAAATATACGGAACAGCGGCACACGCGGGCGGGGAAGGGTCATTGCCCCTTTCTGTTCTCCATTCAATGGTCGTTCTTTTTTTTTTTTTTTTTTGAGAGTAGCGTGGGGTATATATTTGGTTTGGCTGAGGGGCGAAAAAGGGATGCGGTGATGGTTTTGTTGGGATTGGGTGCAGTCCAAGTAAGTGCGTGTAATGACGGACGTTCTTTCATTTTTGTGAATGGAGTGGCACACACGCACAAACATGTCGTCTTTCTTTATTCCCTCTCACTGGGGTGAAGGGAAGGAGGAAAATAATAAAAGGAAGGGGAGGAGGAGGAGGAGGAGGAGGAGGGCCACCGTTGCCGCTTCGAGGGGCGCGCGATCCACAAAAAAGGGCCTGCGAAAAGACCTGCGGTGGGAAATTTAAATATTTCCATTTTGTTTGTTGGTGAACTAAAAGGCTATTATTTTTTTCTTTTTTTCATCATTTTTATTTTTATTTTTTATTTCTCAAAAAAAAAAAAAAAAAGAAGATGTTGACTCCGATATTTGTTTGCGAGCAGAATGAGTCTTTTGTTATTGTTTCCATAACGCTGTCGGCTCTCTGCAAAGTGACAACAGCTGTATTCAGCATACTGGATCATCAGTTTACGTTTCACTGTGCCCCATATTACCTACGGCTGAAGTTTGATCAGCGCATTGCGGAGGGACGTGGTGAGAGGGCGACGTACACCGTTGATACCAATGTATTGACTGTGTACATCCCGAAGGAGCACAGGGACGAGGTGTTTACGCACCTGGACAACCCTGGCTATCTCATAGCCACTGATAAAGAACGCCAGCAGCTGGTCCAGTGTGTGGGAGGCGGTGAATTGCAAGGGGAGGATTCCATGGCACCCGATGAAGATGAAACCGAATTCCGTCAGCAGCTACCTTCTGCCTGTGGGGTAGAAGATGGCTGTGCGGATTACGGCTTTGCAGGAAGTTTTTCGGGGATGTTTGCCTCACTCGATTCTGACATCACTGCGGAAGTGCTTGATTTACCGCGTAACCCGGACGAGACAACAGGGGTCGAGCGGCGTCAGCTTCGCTTGCAGTCGGAGAACAGCGACTTTGATGAGGACGCTCTTCTCTTAAGTTTTGAAGATGCCGATGGCGAAGTGCAGCGTTTGTTGCGTTACGTGCCACGACATCGTCTGGACTACTTTGCCGCTCTGGATGCGGAGGGGGTGCGATACGTGGTCCCGTCAGCACCAATGGAAGAAACCACCAATAATTATACTACGGCGACGGAGGAAGACGACAATGGTAAGGGTGTGCTTGAGGAGGAAGAAGAGGTGTTGCCGATGTCCACTGGTGTTGTGGATCTGTGGGCCGGAAATATTGCGGAGTTTAAGCGACCTCTTGTCGAGGAGATTTCGCAACCGACAGAAAATGAAGTGGACATGCCAATCGGGGTCTCAAGCACTAACGTTTCAGCGCTTCCTACCGGATCCCTTGCCGTGCCGCAACAACGGCCTCGTGCCTTATTTTCTTCCGAAGAACATGGGGTGTTGATGAAAATTCGACCACCACGTTTGTTATTTCCACCAAGTTCGTTGGTTGTTGACGCGCTCACAGTGGACATACTTTTTTCAGAGGCCTATGATGACATTGTGACGGAAGGAACCGGCTGTAGTGAGTCACTGTGGAATATCTGCAAGCTGAGTCCGGCTCTCTCGTGGCTGGACCCAGCGGAGAATGTGTATGACGCCTGTATTTTTTTTGCACGTCGGGCTCTTATCTATCCATTGCATCGTAATTTTGCTCTCATTCAGCGCGTCTTTTCCTCGGTTGGGGTTCGGCTGCTTTTGGGCAAGTCGTACGTCATAAAGGCTTTTCTGCGTGTGCGCGCTATCCTTGCTCACGCCGAGCACCGTCACGTTCTTGTCACTCTCTTTCTGAATCCTCTTATTGGCTACTGGCTGGGTGTTGAGGACGCGGAGGAGCGTTTACTTCGGCTTGCGTTGGAGCTGCATGCGCATGTCACCCGTGTGGAAGCTGAGATGGAAAGGCCTCTTCCCACCTCGTCGCTACTCGTGCAAAAGAAGAGGCAACTGCTCCCGCTGCACTTGCTTAACCTTGGCCTACCCATTTCCTGAAGCAAAAAGGCATCATGCACCATGAGGGTTTCTTTCCCCCTCTGCGTATGCGGCACCAACCTCCTCCCTCCCGGTTTGAACGAGGCGAAGCGATGGAGGAAAACTGTGTGGTACGTGTGGGGATGAAACAACAAAAGAATGGCGGATCGATTAAAAGTGAATATGCCTTAAGAAGTGGGGCCTGAAAAGTGAGTAATAATGGTGCACTTCTGTGGGATTGGCTTCATCACTGTGGCGTGTTCTTTGCATGTATGTTACCCACCTTTGTTTTTTTTTTTCTTTTTCTTTTTCTTCTCTACGGATGTGTGCATGGGGTTTGGCTTTTGGCGTCACGATTCGAATGAAGAGAGCATTGTGCAACGTGGTGCCGCAGCCGATGGTCGGAGTCTTTACCGGCGCCGATGAAAGTGATGGTAGCCCCATTGAAGTGGCATCTCACTTTTTTACGGGCGTAAACGACCCGCGCGTTGGAACAATGGACTTTTCTTTAGATGGGCAGTATTTTATTTCTTCCCATGCAGATGATGCGCTTCGACTGATTGATGTTTTGACGATGCGACACAACGAAACAATTCAGTTAGAGGCGTTTGGTGTGCACTGTGCAAGGTTCACACAGTCTAGCGATGTGGTTTGTGTGGCCCCCCGGTACAGTAGCGATGGACACTTGTACCTTTTGAGTCTCACATCGGCCCAGTTGTTTGCTGCAATGGCCTTTGTGAGTGATGACGTGCCGGAGCTGCGGGCCGTTAGCAACACACCGGTGTACTCAACGATTTCCCAGTGTCCCCAAAGCGACGTGATTGCCTCCGTATTTTCGACGCAGGGTCGTCTGCTGTTGTTTCACCCCTTAATCTCTGGAGCGATCGCGGCATCTGGTGAACGAACGGTGATGGGTAACAGGGCCACCGTATCATTCAGCCCTGATGGAACAAAACTTGTCGTTGGGGACGACTGCCGGGTCCGCGTCTTTGATTACCGGAAAATGTTTTCATCGCCATTAGCTTCCTTGGATAACAAAGCAATTTTCACGGAGTCGGGTGCGGCTTCGCGCTGCAAAGGAGCTGAGGTGGCCGCTGACGGATCCCATTTGTTGCTCACATCTTTTGGAGGGGAGGCGGTTGTGTATGCCTTGCAACTTGGACTGGTGTCATGCTCATACTTTCACAACGTGGCGCGCCGACATTTCATAGGCGCCGGCGACGCTGTTGGTGCAAAATTTATGTTTCCAAATATTACAGGTTCTATTGTGGTGCAGTTATCCACGTACATGAATGCGGGGCGACACCTACTGGTGTACGATGGTTACGACGGACAGTTTTCCGGGTCGTGTCGGCGCGGCGCCCTCAAGTACGAACTGCAGTGCAAAGATAGCGACGTTCCTGTCGCTTTGAGTGTCAACTCAAAATATGCACTTCTGGCGACCGCGGCGCGAGGCGTGACGTGGTGGTCCTTCAACTTGTAGGTTCATCGAGACGAATGGAGGATCCGAGTGAAAAGAAAATTGTGGGTATGCGGGGAAAGGGAAAGGGAGGGGGCGAGAGGGAGAGGGAGGGAGCGGGACACCCCCGTGATGCGCACAGGGAGCCTGCCAGTGCGGGTTGACGACAAACACGAGCGGATACCAAAGACCCATTTTTTTTTTTAAATTTATTCCTCTTTTCCTCTTTTCCTCTTTTCCTCTTTTCCTCACGATAAAAAAATACAACAGCAACAACTACAACAAATGTGATTTAAATGAACTTAGTTGGCACCTGCTGCTTCTAAAAAAAAAAAAAGATAAATAAATAAATTCCGCTGCCTGCTTGGTTTTAGTTTGCCACGCATCACTTGTCCTTTCACATACGCTTTTTTCCTTTTTTTGTTCTTTGGCGGGGCGCGCGCCCTGCGTGGGAGTGGCGCAAAAGAGGGTTCTTTGTGTTGTGTGTGTGTGGTTGGGAGAGGGAGAGGCCGGTGCTCGGGTGGCGCCTAACTTTTTGTCTCGAAGTGACGGGAGTTTCAGTGAAAAAAGGGCCGACATCAGCAGGAATAAAATTTATAAGCAAGGAGAGCGGGCAAAAGGCGACTCATTGATCACGTCCTCTTAAAAAGAACCCAGCAGTTAGCAAAGAAGGCACGAGACCCATCAAATTTGCTTGGTATTGATGCGGTTCATCGTGCAGCAGCAGGATGTGTGGCGTGTACTTCGGAACGCCTCGAAGCACACGGCAAGTGAACGCAAGCGGGCGTATTTTTTTTTGTTTGCGTACTGTCTTAGTGTTGCGGCACTTTTTGCGAGTTTCCTGCACTTTATCGGTGCATGGGTTGCAGCCGGTCTCATTCAGCTTGTCATGCTCATCTTTGCCATGCTGTATGCTCTCAACATTGCGGACTGCCGTGACAAGTGCCTGAACGTGCTAGAGTGCGAGCGGATTGTCAACCCGGTGATGGAGGTTTACGTTGGTCTCCGTGCGTTACAGCTGCTACACGCCATTTTTTTCATTCAAAGCATTGTGCTATCACTTTGCTACACAATGGCGTTGTTGTTTCTCGTTTGGCGCATTTCGCGAGGTGCCTTCTTTGTCGACGCTACGAGTCTTTGGCGTGAGGTCGGGCGATTGGAGCAGGGATCGTACTTCCACATATCCATCGATGTTTTGCTGTTTGTGGTGTACCTTGTGTGCATGGTGTTTGCCATTGTCGCACGCTACGCGAAATAGGAGCGCAGCCGCGGATGGCGACAAATTATAGCAGCAAGGGGGGAATATAAACAATAACAACAACAACAAAAAAAAAAGGAAAAAAAAAGGAGGCGGCGTGAGAGGGGAAACAACAACGGAAGAGAAGGCATTGTCTCTTTATTAAACAAAGATGCAAACATGGCGTTGATGGTGGGAGTGCATGCCAGCGCACACGAGCCGACAAGGATATATAACAATCGGGCCGCGGGGCGAGCTGGATCGACGGAAGTCGATGAAGAAAAACTTTCTGTCCGTTGAATTTAGCCTGCCGCACGTGGAATTTCTTCTTTGGTTCCTAATATACATTTATTTTCGGTCTACGTGTGATGTCCTTTTGTCACAGAAGTTGCGTCGCTTCCTCTCGCTCTCATGGGTGGTGCTTTTGGTGCGAGGCGGTGGGTGGAGGCTTGAGGCGTGACGTGGTAGCCGAGAGGATAAAGGTGGGGGGCGCAAAACCACACGACAGTTTAAGGCAGGCAAACCTCGAAAGGATCAGGAAAGGGGAGTGTTGTGTTTCAGCGGGCGTTCTGTACCTTTTTTATTTGAATATCGAAGGATGTTCTATTTAAATTGATTGCACTCTGTGTTTCTTTTCTTTTTTTCTTCCATTGTTATTATTATTATTATTATTGTTATTTTATTTATTTATTTTATTTTATTTTTTTGGTTCTTGTGGGGGAGACGTGCTGCTGTTTCTCTTTTTTTTTTTTTTTTTCCTTGCCGAAAGATGGCGGGGACGCCTACGGATACCAGCCTTGGGCTGGAGCAGCTACACGGCATGCTGCACACCATTTTGCACTCGACGGACAACAACGAGCGCCGCAGCGTGGAGTCCACTGTTGTGCGTGCTCTCAACGCCTCTTCCAACCTCATGCTCCTGGTGCGTTTGGTGCAGGATGTGCAATCGGTCTCCGCCGGGGTTCGACAACTCGCTGCGGTGCTTCTGCGAAAGAAGGTATTTTCACTCTGGCGCGCAATCCCAGTGGGATCGCGGGCGGAGCTGAAACAAGTTCTTTTGGCGCAACTTGGCATCGAGCCTGTGCGTGTGGTGCGGTTTGCGCTGGCACATGTAATTTCCCGCCTGGCGAGGGCCGAATTTCTGGAACCGGTTGAGGGATGGCCAGAGTTGCAAGTGGCGATTCGCACGGCAATGGAGGACCCACGCGGGGACATGCGGGAGTTGGCGATGGTCTTGGCGTACAGCATAGCGGAGGTGGTGGGGGAGTGCGGTGATCTCAACACGCTGGTCACGGAGGCGGTTCTTCAGGGCATGACGGACGCCGAGGTGAGTGTGCAGCGGGCTGCGTTGAAGGCGATGGGGGCGTTGCTGCTTTTTGTGGACGTGCAGGAAGAGGACAGGATTGTGGTGGAAAAGAAGAAGCATGAACGGGGAAAATTGTTGCAGCACCTCATACCGCGTTGCTTGGAGCTTCTGGCGGTATATGGGCCTCTGGAAGAGAGGACAAATATCTGCGTGGACGTATTGGATCTCCTTGAGCAGCTGGTGGAAGATTTGAGCGTTAAGAAACATGAAGGGATTCTCCGCACCTTGGGAATTGAGATGATTTCAGTACTTTGTAACACTGTGAACCGGCCGCGTGTGCGGCAGAATAGCAGTGAGGTTCTGGTAACTCTGGTGAATTTGAAGCCTAAGTTTGTGACAACAACACTGCTGGAGCCCATGGTTTCGGCATGTGTACAAGTCATGGGTGAGGATGGCACTATTTCACTCCCCGAAGAGGTTACACGCCTGGAGGACTCGGAAATGGACATTAAGAACGACACCAATGATGAAGATGCCGAGATGCTACACGTGAGCCCACCTTGTATGTACGCCGGACGTCTTTTAAGTACTCTCGCAACAAAAGTATCTGCCAAAGCGTTTACCAATGTGTTGTTACCTTTTGTTTTGCGCGTTTCTGAAAACATGCAGGGAGGTCCTCTTGAGCGCAAGGCGGCCATTCTTTCCCTTGCCTGCCTGGCGGAGGGCAACCCGGGCTATTTGCGACGCAAAGTACAATACGTGTTGAAGCTAACGCATGACTTTTTGTGCGACAGCAATCCTATTCCAC